ATGAACAAGAAAATTGGTATGTGTGTGTCAGACAAGTGAGTAGGAGATGAATAGGCAAATAAGTAGGGATCGGCATCAGTATTTGAAATGCAGGCATGGAAGATTTTAAGAGAAAGATAAATGATAAAACATTGAGACATTTTTTTCATTTCCTTTCAAAACATTCCAAAATAAACCATTTTGGGGTAGAGATATCAGAATTTTGCTTTGTACTTTTATTTATGAATGTTTGAGAGGATTTTATTTTGAAACCCTTCCCTGCAAAAAAGAGAAAAGATTATGATAGTTTTATTGTTTTTACATTTTTGTGACAATTTTTTTTTCTCTGAAAAGGCCTTGAAGCAGGAAAAAAAACTTTTAGAACATTTTTTTTAACAAATTTCTGTAAAAATTCCTTCTTGAGTTTGCTTCTAAATTGATTTATTTTTCCCTTTAATTTCTTATTTTCTTCTTTATCTTTACCGTTCTTTTCTGTGTCTTCATTTCTTTCTCTTTGTTATCATTGCAAAAATCCTATTTCATTTCCTTTTTATTTTTTGGCACTGTTTTCTTATTCCTCCATTTTCCTTATCAGTTCAACAAATCCTTCTCATTTTTATCATTCGCCTTCATATTTTTTTTTTGTTCACTTGTTCTTTATTTTCATATCTTTCTCTGTTTTTCTTCTTTTTATTTTTCTGGCATTCTTTATTCTCAACTACTTTTCTTTCTTATTTCTGTTTTTATCATCTTAACCAATCTCTTCTACTAATTCCTTATTTTTTAACATCTTCCAATTCTGTTTTCTATACTTTCCTATACTTTTCTTTTCATGTTCATGACAAATTTTACTCCTTCCAAATTTATCTCTTTCTCCTTCATCTTTTCATCATCATTAATTTTTCCACTCAGTTTTCATCTCATTTCATTCAACTTCCTCATATAACTTCCTTCATTTTCTTCAACATCAGCAACATTTTTTTCATTTTCTTCTATTTTCATTACCATTCTTCTATCACACTTTTTTTTCTTAATTTCTTTTTCATCATCTTCACTACCATCTTTTACTTCTTTCTTTACTATCACAATTCCATCACTTTTTTTTTTCCTTCGAAATTCTCCTTCTCCATCATTTCAGCATTCACACACCTTTTCCCACCTTCATCTTACTCCAAAGAATTTACCTAATGATATGCAACAATCAAACCAGAGTTTTGAGTCATTAATATTATCCACTGACTAAACCTCTTCCTTCTGATTCATTACGTCTCTCTAAAATGACTTCAACAAACCAACCATACTCAATTCCTTAAGATTTTCTCTCTTCAACAATATATCGATATCTATGTCTTCCTGTGGCTTCAGGCCTGTGTATAATAATATTAAAATGAAACATATCATTATGAATTCACTGACAAGTTGAGAGATAAGAGAGGGTTTAGAAAGACATTTGTATATAAATAGACCTTGGTTGTTGCAGGTGAATACTTTCTGAGAGATAGGTTTTGGATTGATATGTATTATCTGAGTGTTTGACTTGGGTAGGTAGACATGAATATACAATCGATTTGATAACTGTAGATATGAATGTCTTGTCGATTTTAAATACAAAGATAAATAGATATGAACAAAGGTGGTAGATAGATTTTACAAGTATGTTTATGTACTGACTGCTGTCAATGGGGAGATATTCTGGCTTCTAATTAAGCTTGAATACTGATGAAAGATAATGGAAGAAAACATGACACCAAGTGGACAGATATGAAAAGATAGATATGGTAATTCGTAATATTAGCCATAAGGTAATATCTGGCATTCATTGTAGTGCTACTCAAGTTATGCTTTTCTTCACTCACTGGAAATCAAGCTGGTCATCAGGATAGGATCAAAGTGTAGTATCTGTTCTCCTCATCTCTAATGTTAATAGTAATATTATCTATTTACTTATAAGGGAGCATTTGGCATTCATTGACCAAGCAGCCAGTGCAACTTGAGTTATGCTTTTCTCCACTTGCTGGTCATCAGGATAGGATCAAAGTGTAGTATCTGTTCCCCTCATCTCTAATGGTAATAGTAATATTAGCTATTTACTTATAAGGGAGCATTTGGCATTCATTGACCAAGCAGCCAGTGCAACTTGAGTTATGCTTTACTTCACTCGCTGGTCATCAGGATAGGATCGAAGTGTAGTATCTGTTCTCCTCATCTCTAATGGTAATAATAATATTATCTATTTACTTATAAGGGAGCATTTGGCATTCATTGACCAAGCAGCCAATACAAATTGAGTTATGCTTTTCTCCACTTGCTGGTCATCAGAATAGGATCAAAGTGTAGTATCTGTTCTCCTCATCTCTAATGGTAATAGTAATATTAGCTATTTACTTATAAGGGAGCATTTATGTTCATTGACCAAGCAGCCAGTGCAACTTGAGTTATGCTTTTCTTCACTCACTGGTCATCAGGATAGGATCGAAGTGTAGTATCTGTTCTCCTCATCTCTAATGGTAATAGTAATATTAGCTATTTACTTATAAGGGAGCATTTATGTTCATTGACCAAGCAGCCAGTGCAACTTGAGTTATGCTTTTCTTCACTCACTGGTCATCAGGATAGGATCGAAGTGTAGTATCTGTTCTCCTCATCTCTAATGGTAATAGTAATATTAGCTATTTACTTATAAGGGAGCATTTGGCATTCATTGACCAAGCAGCCAGTACTACTTCTGGCTGAAATTTATAAAACGTTTTTACTAAAACAATTTTTTCAGTAAAATAGGTTTTTCAAGTGCAGTCGATATTTTCACTCTTTCCAGTAATGATGGAGGTTTCATTCCTAATCTTTTGTTTAAAGGATCTCAACATCTTGATTTTATCATTATTTTCTCTTCAAGTTACATATACTATGCATTTTAGTTGTTGTTGCTGTTAAAAGTCCTCAAATGATGCAGTTTCAACTATTTGGTACAGTTCCTTCTTCAGGATTCTGTAGTGCCAGTCTAGAAGATTTGAAGAAGGAATGTCCTCACTTAGACCTATTGTATTTCTTTCACTCAAAAGCATTTTAATCACTGAACTGAGAAAACTATTTCATACAAGTGAGAGTTTAGACATTTCTGAATGAGTAGGACAATATCTAAATGGGACATTATTTACATTATTCGGACTATTGTCCTCATCTTTTTCGCCATATCTATCACAACGTTTCGGCCGTTGTACGAATGTCGAACCGAACCCTTTATTTTGCTCACTGGGGTAGACTGTTCTAATTCCACGTGCCATGTTTGATGGATGTCAGTTATCAGTTATCTCCTGTTAATTTCCCTCTGAAAGTTCTCCACTGCCTTAACCGGGTATTGAACACGCACTCTTTGGGTCCTGTCACTGGATCTAACCAACGCCTTTATCCACTGTGCCATGTGTCCTTGAGTCATGTGGAACTAGAACAATCTACCCCAGTGAGCGAAATAAAGGGTTCGGTTCAACATTCGTACAACGGCCGAAACGTGATAGATATGGTGAAAAAGATGAGGACAATAGTCCGAATAATGTAAATAATGTACATAATAACTCATCTCAGAAATATAGACAGAATCTATATGGGAGTTTGGATCTGATGAGGCTATTTAAGAACACAATTCAATTTTTTATATTAATGTTTTGATTTTGCAATGTAACGTATGGTTTAGCTGAAAATTAAGTTTCTCAAAAAAGTGGTAGAAGAATACTTTTTTATATGAAAAATGGATGGAAAATTTGATTTTAAAATCACTTTTTAACAAGATGCTCTGTGAGCATGTAAGATATAAATATAGATTAAGACATCATGAAAACATTTAATTAAACATGAAAGGAACAGTAATCAATAATTAAAAGGCTTGATTATAAAACCTGAATATTCTTGTTTGGGATTGAGTAAAAAAGATTGTAGCAAAGAAAACGCTGAATTACCTCATCAAACCAAGCGACACCATGTCACATGTATTCTACAGAATCTGTGGCAAAAAAGAAAGATACTTGCCGAAAAAAGGGCACATATTCTGCATTATATGCTGAAGATGGAATAATCAAATTAGAAACAAGTCCGTCGCAGGAGTTGCCATAAAAATATTTTGATATACTAATATTGTGTGTTCTCTCCCACTTGTCAACGAATGAAAAAAAAATGCTCAGTTAATAAAAGCAGTTGATGTTCTTGAATCAGGAAAAAAAAAAAAAGATAAAATTCATGTATTTGGCTACCGCGGTCATCATTGTCAGTGAGTGATTTAACTTTCTGACTGGTTACATGCATTGTGATTTGTGACATAGTACCTGCAAATCGAGATTTCAACATTTCTTTCTATCCCTGATCTTTAAGTCTGAACTTACAGTGATTTGTTCTTTTCAGTGTGGAAGTAATCTGCAACAAAGATTTTCCATTGCAATCCAAGAACTCTTACACACTATTTCAGCACTATGACAGACAGGACATTTGACGTCAAGTTGATACCCAAGTTTGATGGTTCAGTGACCGGACAAGCAGTTACTGAATGGATTGAGAAGGCAGATCTTGTTTGTGAACTGTGTGGAATTAACTAGGTTGAACATGTTCTTCACTTGAGGTTGATGGGTGGAGCATTTACTGTTTACCAGCAGTTAAGTTCAGAGCAAAAAGTAGATGTCGAACAGATAAAAAAAGCCTTGCGGATTGCCTTTGCGCTGGAAAAGTCAGTTGATGTGTTTCCATCCAATTTGAAGAAGCTAGCAGGTCTATTTAGCAGGATAGCCAAGCAAGGATTAGTATGTGCGTTCATAGCAGGCTTACCAGTGCACATCAAGCAACTATTGCTCACGTTCTCCAGGATGGAAGACATGACCACAAAACAATCGTTGGACAGAGTTCAGGTCATAATGAGAAATCCAACTGTAACTGAGGAAATGTTGTGGCTAGCATTTCACTAGGCAGAGCTGATAAACTTCCAAATGTTAAATGTCGAGAGGGTATGCAATGTTATCGATCCACTGGGTGGAATCTCATTTCTAGGGGCTGTTCAGTTCAATGAAAAGATGCCATGCAGCTCACGCACAATGATGTGTTGCTTCTGGTGTCAAGGATTAGGCCACATTGTTTCATTGTGTCAGAGGAAAAGAGGAAGGGGACAAGACGTCAGCACCAGTCTTTTTTCCAAGCGAGTCATGAATGAGGCACTACCTGACTTAAATGTTCATGTGAATGGAGTTAACAGTGTGGTACTGGTAGACAAGGGTTGCTCACAAGCACTCATAAGTAAGTCCGTTTGTCAATCCTGGCAGGAGACGAAGGTGGACATACTCACCATAAATGGAAATACCCTCAAATGTCATGGAGTTGGAAGTATTAAACCTGACCTGGACAATGCAAACCCCCACAACATCAAAGTCTTGGTAGTAGATGGGGAGCTACTGGGTTTTGACCTGTTGCTTGGGTTCAACTCCATTAAAAAGCTGGGCAGACTCCAAATAATGGAGTATGGCAGTGTACAGTTTCCCATGTGTGGGATGGTTCATTGCACCACCATTAAAATAGAAGAACCCGATTTCTGTGCCGAATTCGACCCAAGCGAGAAGAGATGGGTCGCAGCATGGAAGTGGTCAAATGGTCAATCAATGGAGAGTTTTCAAAACAGGATGCCTGAGTACCCAATACCAACAAGGGTCAAACAGGAATACAACTGTGAGCTGCAGACCTGGCTTGATAATGGTTGGTTGCAGCCTTAGCCTGAAAAGGAACTTTGTCCTCCTAAAGGTTTAATTCCCTCGATGATGGTGGTGCAGAAAAACAAAAATAAAGTGCTGCCAGTATTAGACTATCAAGAGCTGAATGAGTGTCTAGACACACACAGCCAATGCTGATGTGTGTGCACAGAAACTGAGGGAAAGGCTTAAAGAAAAACCTGATATTACTATCCTTGAACTATGTCAAGCCTGCCTACAAGTGCATATCCATAAGTCACTTTAGCCCTTTCAAACTGTAATCTTCAAGGGGTGAAGCTATTGCTTGACACATAGGTTTCAGGTTGAATGTTGCACCAGCCATAATGATGTCCACTGTGAACACAGCGTTATCGAAAGATGAGTCAGTTCGAGGGGCAACCTCACCATATATTGATGATATTTATGTTGATGAGAGCATGATTTCAGCAGCTTGTGTGAAAGAGCATTTGGCTG